AGCATTGTCACGGAAAGGAAAGGAAAGGTGGTCTGGATTGAGGAGCTGGCTCTGTTTGTGTTAAGCTCTGTTTTCCACAGCTCTGAGGACTGGAGGAAGTTTTCCAATAAGGGAGGAAAAATGCATTGAAATCAAAGATTCTGGGTTTAAAACCAACATTCCCTTTAAGAAAGACTTTGACGGCTTTTCCACCATTGTTCTTGGGGTTGTTTTAGGCAGTGTAATGAGCAAAAACAAATTATAAAACAGTGGGGACAGAAGGGAGACCCACCTCCTGTGCTCTCTGCTAAAATACTAAAACAGGAAGGAGATCTCTAAGTCCAAATTAAGTCTCCACTGCAGGGGAGGCATGTGACATTTAAGAGAAGACACACATTGTCTGTGGAACAGACACACTTCTAAATGGGCTAACTCAATCTAAACTGGGAACTTGGAATCCATCCCAGGAGATGAGAATATTTTTCCTTTTTAAGCATTCTTTCCTTCCTTTCTAGTAATTTAGCTTGTTTTCTCCAAAACTAGCTTGGCTGACATGCATCGTACAATGTCAGAGAGAGCAGTCCCTGCAGGTCGTCACTGTGAAGGTGAAGAGGGACACCATTGGGAAGCGTGGAAAGATTAAGCAACCATGTGTGCTTTAAGATCTAACACAATACATTGTATTAGGAGGGAAATCTAAAGAGTCACTTGGGATTTGAGTAGCATAAATCCATTTATTTTTCAAGTTGGATTTGGAGTCATATCTACCAAGCCTTTATGGAACTGGAGATTATCTGAGGGCCCGTCAATTCTCAGTGAAATGTCCTTTTCTCACTGATTGAGCAGAAAAGCTGTAATCGATTCATCCCCTGACATCAGTTACCAGGCCTGTGATGCTGTGCTCTCCACTGTAGAGAGAAAAAAAGCAGAAGACATTGCCTCTCCCTCCAACTAGCCTGAAAGCTAACTGAGCTTCCTCAAATAAGGAAGCCAAACAATAAACACTAATTTGGTTGTAAGGTTTGTAAGACAATGCACTATGAGTATAGGGTATGTGAGGAATCAAACAAACAGTGAATGAAATAAACAGAATTGATAAAAGATGGGCATGCCTTGGCAGAGAGCAAGAGATAAAATCTCTAGAGGAAATAAGTTCCCACACTGGGTTGAGCCAGTGCCCACTCTTGTCAGTAGAAGACTCAAGCAGCACATTGAAGACTGATCTGGATACTCTCCCACACATCAACATTCAGGGTTCTACCCTTGACATGCATGGAGGGAAAGGCCTGTGCACAGGTAGCAGGAGTAAATATTAGCAAAAAGTCATCAAGGAAATGAGACAGTGTGGGGCAAAGAATCCTAAAAGTCATTTGTATAAACCACAGCAAGAGAGATGGTTTTGGACTCTGAGTGACAAGCTAAAACTAAGAAAGCCAGTGAATATCACTAAGCCCAGAAAACAGAATGGGAAAATGGAAATTATTAAGTTCATGTACCCAAAGCATAAAAACTGACTGCTATAATAGTATACTCCTGGCCAAAATGTGCAGGTGCCTACAGTCTAGGCTCACTAAATCAGTGCTCGCCTGTGTCTCAGGCACACCACAAGCAGACCATTCCTCGAAGCCCTTTGCAAAAGTATATTTAGGAAATAAATGCGTCCCTTTGGATGACTATGGCACATATGCTAGAGTCAGAAAAGAGACTTTTTTGGGATTCCACCATAAGTAGGGGAATGAGAGAACTCTGCGACTGTGTCAAGCCCCTCAGAAGCACGGCTTAGCACTGTTGGGGCCCTTTACTTCACTAAAGGCAAGGAATTGGAGGTACTCTTTTTTTAAAAATAATTCTTGTCACCCGCTTTATCTGGAGACTCTTAAGAGGCTCCAAGCCTATTCAGTGCTCAATAAATAGTTACACTGCATAAGCAAGACTGCTCATTTTATGCACCGAACGCAGAAGTGTGGGCTCACAGGGAGACAAGGGGTCAGGCTGCTTCTGCACAGAAAAGAGAAGGGCAGAAAGAGGTCGGGCCGGGACTCCTCCTCACTGTAAACACAACAAAGAAATGCCTGGTCTGGCTCCCTGAAAAGAAGAGCAAACTAAAGTGATATCAATGAAATTGTTGAAAAGCACATCCATGAGGAAGAGCCAAACATTTTAAAGCAAGAGCAAGTAATCTAAAATCTTAGCAAAAAGAAAAAAAAAGTCACTGAAGTATTTTTAACAATCTGCTTCCTCTTCTCTTCTGAAACAAACGTAGTGCATAATTATAATAAAAAAGTGTAGTGTTGGTCACGGTTTGGCTTCTGTTTGCTAACACCAATATTAGCTCAAATATGTTTTTTCAGAGTAACATCTCATAACGCCTTACAAGCCAGATCTCTAAATAAGCCCTGAGATGGAGTGTCTAGAAAAGGCTTTCCGTTTGTCCTCCATTATTAAAAATCCCCATAGTGTTTCCTTCTATGCTGTAATTTCAACAGACCGGCAGTGCCCACAATGAAAGAGAAGGGGAGGAGAGGAAGGAATAAGACCCTGTGCATGAACCCAGCCTTACTTCCTATCTATTCTTCCCCATTCTCTATTGCAGCCTCCCACCATGAGCCAAAAATACCGTTTTGATGAAATATTAGAGTGCACACCTCTCTACAGGAATCAGAAAATAACAGCTTCTAGCCAAACTCCAGCTCAAGCAGGACGCTTCTGCTTAAAGCGTTTTTTGATAACTATTTCCAACAGCACATGGGGATAGAGCATCCTTCTTTGCATTACTAGTGACACTCTCTGTACCCCTTAGTTCTAGACATCATCTCCCCATATTTTAGCTGTTGATTTCTTCCCTGCCCACTGGGTTCTCAGCTCCTTCAAGGCAGAAACCATATCTTTTTCCTCTCAGCATCCCAAGAAACCAACATGGGTTCTAGCACAAAGCAGGTACTCAACGACTGTGAGACGAATTAATAAATCCATCAGTTACTTTATTTCTGAATAAATAAGTTTGCAGGCTGCACAGTTCGCAAAGAACTTTCACACTTACTGCTGCGTTTGATCCTAATGACACCCATGAAATCCCCTGAGGAGTGGCCACAACTATCTCCATCTACAGATGAGGATGTGGAAGCTGAAAGAAATGAAGTGACTTGACCAATGTCACACAAGGGACAGAGAAAGGATTGAATGAATGTTCCTATCTACACAGCTGAAACTATCCCTCATTAGAATCTTTCATCTCAAATCGGGACCTGCTGCTTTAGATCAGAGGATTGTTTGGAAGGTCATAAATATTAAACTAACTTTTTTGGGTCCTTGATTCATAACAAACTCTCATTATTGGTCCATGCACATCCCTCTTTAATCTGTTTATACATTTAATTCTTTTGAATTATATAAACACTGGTGTAAATATACTCTATATTATTATGCAGTAAGAGTTTATTAAATAACTGTCCTGGAATAAAGGGAAACTCCAGGAAAAGAATATTCTTCCTGGACACCAGTTCAACATGCTCAGGTGGTATCTAAGCATGCTTAGTATAATCATGTCTCCATCAAGGAAGAAGTTGCATTTCAGTTACAT